ATTATCTTTATTCTAACAAAATCTGACAATTCGAGAGAACCTTGAGTTCTAGGCATGTTGTAGCACAAGATAATTAGTGTGCGGACCATTTTCATTTATATAGTGCTTTGTGAACACAAATTAGTTAGCATAAATCAATTAAATGACAAAAAATTAGGTGTCTATTTACTTGTGACCACTCAGTGTACTGTCTTGCCAACTAATGAGAGTCTTGAAACTCTGAAGTTATACCTCAACCAGCGACAACTGCTAGAACCATCAACAGACACTCTGGTAAGACTAGCATATACCGTCAATGGACATGTACTGTCATGCCAACTAATGAGGGTCTTGAAACTCTGAAGTTATACCTCAACCAGCGACAAGTGCTAGAACCATCAACAGACACTCTGGTAACACTAGCTGAACTCATCTTAACATTAAACGACTTCTCTTTTAATGATTAATTTTACAAACAAATAATGGGTGTAGTCATGGCTACCAAGATAAAACCGTCACTCAACAATCTGTTTGTAGGCTACATAGAACACAACACGTTTCAAGCTTATCATGGACCCATGCCTGTTTTATACTGACGATACACTGGAATTTTATCTTGAGACACAGACGAATTCTATAATTTTATCGTTTTGTTAAGAATTAACATCCAGACCTTCAATACATAAACAACGTTTCAAAACATTAAGTACAATTCCTCGACATCACTCTGACATTAACTACAGAGATTACTAGTTCAACAGCCATGTATTATAGACCTACCGACTCCCATTAGTTCCTGGATTATAACAACAGCCGTCCTATATACACTAAAAATGCATTCCCAAGTTACAATTTTCCCGTCTCTGTTGTTTATGCAGTGCCGAATCCGATTTTACTCAGAAGACTGATGAGCTCTGAAGTTTTCTCCAGACATAGTCAATTCAGTTTGTAGAGAAGCTCCAAGGTTCTGCCATAATACTGCACTACAAGGGAAGACAGGAATAATCGCAAAAAAATAAATCTTTTGGTTTTGACATCTCTTCATAAAAACATCTAGGTTTCCAACACGATAAAAAAAGAAATTGGGATTCTTCAAAATGACAAAGTTTGTGAGACATATATAAAGATAAACCAAGCACTTAGTAGCAACACGTAAATATCTAAGATATGTGTTTGGTGCACATGTAACTAAAGACAGTACGATAAATTGCGCATCTTAAATGTGGTAGGCGTTGCTGTGCAACACGCGCTTTACATCAACGCCAACACTTCAGTGTTTGGACTCAATTTTAGCTTTAATAAAACAATCATTCATCTGCACATCTAACTGCATTCATTCACTGTATTACGTGCTTATATGATAGACAACTATATATATTTAGGAGAAACACGTCATATGTTGTCTGAAAAAAGCACGCGAATACTTGCGTAACATAAACCTGTGGTAAAATGTTTTACCCAACATTACCACACCATCAGCCACTTCAGATTACTGGCCATCGTCAGTCAAAAGGAAAAACCAGCTTGGCATCATTAATCCGTAGGGAATTAATAAAAGTTTTCTATAACTTTGTGTGTCGATGTGTGACCTCACACATATATTTTCGTTATGTATGCACACTTGCGTTATTTTCACCACTATTTAATCAGTCTTTTTATTTATCACCATCAATTTTATTTCTAGACACCAGAGTGCTCCCGGTGGCTGAGCGGATATTCTGAGGGCTTATAACGCTAAAAATCAGGTTTCGATACCCGCGATGGTCACAGCACAGATAGCCCATTTGTTTTGCTTTGTGTTTAACAACCAGCAAAAAAAAAAAAACAATAGCAAAAAAACAAAACAAAACGTGTACCAGCTTTCTTTCGAACTTTGTAAACAACAAAGCCCAACGTCTTTAATCTTGAAAACGTAACAATTCATTAGTCTTCTGGATTAAATCAAATTTTAAAAAACAAAAAAAACTTTTAGATATATTTAAGACCTCAGTTTTTAACTTTTTGTATTATCATAATATTCGAACAATATTGATTTGCTACCGATTTACGTATATGCTACTTTATATCGGTTCTATGATGTTCATTTCGAACGTTCTGTATTTCATAATCCTTTATGATATCAAACCTTCCGTTCCATCAAAGTTTAAAATCGCCAGAGAAAGAGTGTTCCGACCCGAAACAACATTAAAAGCGTCTGTTTATTGTTGTCCGGGCTTTATTTGAGTCCCTTTTTGATCTCGACTTAAAAATAACGTAAAGACAGTGAATCTGAAAATGGACACCCTTCGTGAAGAACGAGAATACTGGTATTGTTTATATGGCTGAGATAACGGCTGCATACACAAATATCATGTACGTTCAAAACGAGTTTTGTTGTTCTTATGCAAGTCGATCTTATTCTTGTTTGGTATTTGTATACCTCAACGATAAACAAGCAAAAGTAGGTTGTCATACTGAAAATAAAGTTTTTTCAAGCCACTTTATATATATATATATATATTCATATTTGTGTGTGTGTGTGTGTGTGTTAACTGAACGCCTGTATTATCTTTAACAGATCCCTATGTAAAACTGTATCTTCTATACAAGAACCAGAGGATTGCTAAGAAGAAGACACATGTGAAGAAGCGCACAGTTAACCCAGTATTTAACGAGTCCTTTGTTTTTAATGTCCCTAATGATGGACTGGAATGCATTGGGCTGGAGTTCTTTGTTCTAGACTGGGATTGTGTTACAAAGAACGAGGTGGTCGGGCGACTGGTTCTAGGATCTCGGGTAGGAGGCGCTGCACAACATCACTGGCACGAGGTTAGCAACTCCCCTCGAAGACAGATAGCAGAGTGGCACAAACTTAGGGAATGAAAGGTCGATTCTCTTTATAAGCCTTCAGTAGCAGCTTAACTTCTACGAGTTTGAGTTTAGAAATGAAAAAAACATGAATTCAGTTAACAATATCTCTTATTGATCATTCACGTTCATACTTTGTATATTTTTACTATATTTATTGAGTTTACTGCTGCATATTGAAAACAACCTTTTGTTTTGGAATAAGGTTGACGGTTTCTCGCTTGATTTAGAAGTGTTGAAAACAAGCCTTATATTGATTTTCTTACAATAAGATGTTTTTCACCAATGAAAGAATTAGCCGTATGTATTGTATTACTGTACAGTATTCCATATATAGTGTCGTTGTGTTGTGACATAATAATTTTGTGAAATTGTCTGAAAACCTTTAATAGAATTTATTCATATGTGCCATAAATATGTAAAAAAAGTATGTTAACGAAGCAACAGCTTCTGTATCCGTATTTCACAGGGTGAACGTGAATTTCTGTAGTTTTATTTACAGAAAAAAATATCAAGTAGTCAGAGATGGACTGAACTTAGAAGAGGAAGTGTAATTAAGTCTGCTAAATAACTGTTTGACTCTTCCTTCGATTTAGAATAAAACATAAAAATAGAGAAAGTAATTGCGTATTTTGTTTCTTAAAATAACCTAACTTCAACGTTGAAGAGTATACTGAACTAATGTTTTTTCAGGAAAATTTGTTTGTAGAAATAGTGTTAAAATATATATTTTTATGTTTTGGTACATATTTTAAGATTAAAACTGTGATAAAGATGATTTGTTAACTATGTTTAGACTAATTCAATTAAATGTCGATATTTTTTGTTTGCAACAGTGAACAAAATCAACGTGGTGTAATAAATCCTCATTAAAGTATCTTGCATAAGTGAATTTGTTTTCATACTCATTAATGAATAAAATATCTGAAGTAGAAGTTACCGACCAATGAATCATATCGTAGCAGTAAAACAACGTTTACAAAGCTGAAGTGCAGATGCTACATTACAATTTCATGCAACACTGAAGCGTACGTGGGATACAAGTGAAGCATTTTTCTTCTCAGAGTAATTAACAGTATGTTAGACAAGTTAACCTCAATATTGCATGATAACTACAGTACATGTACTTGAAAACATTTGTAAGGATAGAGTAGATTTCTTACAGTATTAAACAAAATCTATATAAGTTATATAGGGTTATATATTTACAGTAGATATTAATGTGACAAGTTGTATGTAAAGATGCAACAACATTCTAGTCTCAGCGTATAATTATGTGTATATCAATAACTTCTTACAGTTATGCTAAGTGTTCTTTTCATTTACAAATTATTTGACTTTTTAAGTTTCTAAAGCAATAATGAAACCATAGCTTAACGATATATCATTTTCTACAGGATTTTATACCAACTGTAATTTGATTTGCAAAACCTTTCATATAGCGCTCGAATTTTGTTCATTGTGAATAAAGGCATGATTGGATCAGGAATTTAAAAGCATAACGTTCACTTTACAGTGTGAAACTATTCAAAAAACTTTGACAGTTCAGGTTACCACAGTTGTATCCTGAACTTTAAATAATTGTCTCCATTTCGTCAAAGTACACACAGAAGGGTTAAATTACATTAGAACATCCTTTGACTAGACAGATTCTTCTTCTTATCTCTGTTAATCTGTGAAACTCACTTTAAATATTGCCTACGAGATGCTATGATGTAATTGTTACGACAGTGGAAGTCACGCGACGCTGGGAGCATGCGCGCTGGAGTTTCTAGAAGGATCGTGACGTAGCGGGCAACCTCACGAATGTCCCAGCGTTTGCTAGACGCCCTCGTTTTTAGTATATAAGCCGGAGATAGACTGAAGA